CAGTCAGGGCGAAGGTAAAAAGCGGGATGTAGCTGAAGAGTATGAGAGACTTTATGGAATTCGGGTAGGAGGTGACGAAATCGAAGATCCAGAGGCTGAGCTTTATAAGTTTGATTACGAGAAGGCACCCAAGGAAGAACCGTTACAACAAAATCCGGTTACAAACAGTATAAGGGACGTGGATCTTTTGGGCCTTGATAATGGTATTTTGTTGGTTTACCAACCTTTGAACATAATATACAGTGCTTCTAAGCATTATCATTACTGCTCTTGTTGTAGCTTTATTGTCAATTTTTCTGTTATTTTTTGTTCTTCTCCGGTAGCTTTTCGTTGAAGCTCCTCTAACAGCATGAATTTGGTTTTTTTTTCTGTTGAAGTGCTATTCAAGGTTGCTTGAGCTATCTGTGGTCGCTATGATTGTTTTTTTATACAATTCTTGATTGGTTTTGGTTGATCATGGGTTTTCCAATCTCACTGTTAGGTACTTTTGTGCATTTCTACGTTCACTTTTCTAGTGAACTTTCAAATTTCTGGTGCTGGTCTCTCGAAATGGTAGCTTGCATGCGCATATTTAAGTGTTGCTTTAAATTATAGACAGCAGTTGTGTGTCACTTGATGGCACGGCGTATCAGTTCTCTTCTGAAAATTTGACTGCTAATGTAGAAGGTAACTCACACTCCGTTAATTCTTCGACCGATTTCCTGAATCGCGGTTACAATTTGAGTGGTACTGGGAAAGATGGTTCTGATGACAGTTTGCTTGCATTCTCTGCTCTGCGTCCACCAGGTACTTTAATGAATGCAGGAACATTGTTATGCTGAAGTACTTTAATAATTAATCACATATGCAGCTTGAAACAGGATGTGCTAGATTTAGTGTAACCGTTGGTACCGTGTACTCACTACGTAGGTAAACTAGTGTTTATTGATGTTAGTTTTGTGGAGTGTTTCATACAGGAAAGAATTCTAACTGGTTCTTTTAGGTCTTGAACATTTAAGCTTGTTGAGGTGTTGCCAGGTACACTGCTAGAAAATTAGTGTTTTTTTTTCAGAGCAGACTTCGAACATTCATCGCAATGTATCTGCTCCTTCATTCACCTCTCCGCCTCAGAAAAAACCAGTCTTTGATCCATTTGCTGATTTTTTGGCTGCTCATCCCGACCCCGCTCCTTCTGCGTCAACTTCGAAACCATGTTCGATAATTATTAATTGTGAAATAGGTTTTAGAAAAATAATAGTACAAGTAGTTTTGCACTATTAGACTGATTCAGGATGTTTTTAAGCAAAACCACTTTTTTTGCAGTAATATTAATCTCAAGGATAAATGTTATGATATTCTTTTATATTCTTTAAAAACGGTATTGTTTACTCTTGTTTTGCTTTTACAGGTGCTTCTGGACCAAGTAGTGGTAGAGCTACTCCTTCTGTACAAAGACCTAATTATTCTCGTTCGCATTTCGACGCCCTGAGTTCTATTGGTGGTATGTTTGGCTTTTAGCAATTCTTTTTCCTTTTTAGTCTTATTCTTCATTCATTTTTAAGCTTCTAGGTGCAAAGCCGAAGTTAAACGATAATACTTTTGATGACCTACTAAGTTCTCAAGGATTTTCTTCTTCGAAAGGACAGAAATCAATAAGCGAATTACGAAGAGAAGAAGAAAATAAGCAACTTGATCCTGTGTCGATAAAGGTAGTCTTAAACGTAAACATGTGAAATTTCTACTGAGTTGAGTGCAGTGTTTTTTACAGTATTAATAATAATGCTGTGTTTGTGGAAAACCAGCAATAGATTTATATTTATGCATTTTTGAAAGGTAACTAGTTATGTAGCTTTCATGTTTAACTGTTATTTCGCCTTTTAAATGTTTATACTTTTTATTTTTGGGAATTTACCTTAAAATTATTATTAGATGACTTTACATTTGATCTACAGCGTAGTGGGTGTATGATTTTCAACTTTACGTTTTTTCTTTCTGGAGTTTTTGATTCTTTTTTTATCGCAGTTCGTGCGGAAAGATTTTTATGAGCTTTTTTTTGCTTCTGAAATAGGCAGATAATAGGAGGAAGATAGAGGAGACTGATAAAGTCGAATTTATCAGTTCGACTTCTTCTAGATGCGTGACTGGGTGACTGGGAAAGAGGGAAATATACGTGCATTATTAGGTTCTTTAAATGATGTGCTCTGGCCAGGAGCAGACAAATGGGTTCAACCAAGTATGGGAGAACTTCTTTCAGCTAATCAGGTAAGCCGTCTGTAACACCTCAGTCATAATATTTTTGTGTTATTGATAGCTTATTTAATCATCTTTTATTAAGTTATTGTTTCTTCTCAACTTTTTTCTTTGACATTCTGTTACCTCTAAACTTTAGGTTAAAAAGTATTATCGTAAAGCTTGTCTTGTAATCCATCCGGACAAGCAGGTTGGAACAGAAAATGAGGATCTTGCTCGCGCTATTTTCACGGAACTGAATGATGCTTGGTCAGCTTTTGAAGCTGCTGGTTCCCCTGCGTTATAATATTTTCAATTTCTTCCTTAATTTTCAGCTTTCTAGTCATAAGTTATTTTCTGCTTCATGTTGGGTTGCTGTCATTGTAAATTTTGTTTGATTTTTATTTAGATGACAAAGGTGTAAAACATTTTCCATCTTAACATTATTACTTTGGTTTTTTTATTTTTCTTGCGAACATTTCGCTTCTTGGAGTACTGAGGTAAAAGCAGTTTGAAAAATGCTGCTTGTCTGAGATTTTTCTTGGGAATTCCTGAATTATTCCGATCCTAAAAATTTATTTAAAGCCATATTCATTTGCGCTACAATAAAAATTATGCAATAATGCGAAAATTATGAGTAATTTGCCTTTTTTCATTTTTTTAGTTTTGTGAGGCTATGATTCTTTTAAAAATATTTGAGGAAGTAGTTATCTAGTTTTGTAATATTGTCATGGATTATCGTTGTTTGTTTAGTTTGTTAATGACTTTTAGTTAATTTATTGATAGTTTTAATTTTTTTTCTGTGAAAAAGTTCTTAAAGCAATTATTGTAAAGTGGTGATTGTATATCAAATAACGTGAAAATATCAGCTAGTACTTTCCGCTCATTGTGCAGGTTCAGGTTTTGTGTAATGTTCTCTGGTTCTTGATCTTGAATTAAATCAGAAGATCATTCTCCTTATTAAATGATGATATTCGTGCTGTTAGTTCTTTGAAATAAGGAGCTGTTGCATGGGCGTTTTGTGATACTGAATTAGTTATTTTGATGCACGTGGTTGACTTTCTCTGTCTGCTGAAGTGAAAGGCAAGTTCAGCTTGAAAAAGAAACATTTTGGATTTCTATTGTTCTCGCCAAATATCTGAAGTGTAACTCGTTTGTGGGAACTGAAACTGGCAAGGACTACTGTCGAGGATTCGCTACTGGGCCATAGATTCTTTGCTGAGCTTGAAAGTAGTTATTTTTACAAGTTGTTTAGATGGAGGTTGAAACCTCTGGGTCTAACGATGGGCTCTCGGCTACCACTGGCCTGGCGGAAAGTGCAGATGCGGCGGGGGGTTGTCGAGGCTCGCGTAAAAGTGGCCGGTGGTGGAAGGATCCTAGGAAAGAGAAGTTAGTTTGATGGGATCTTGGTAATGAGCTGGTTGCAGATGTGTTTCATTAGTTCTTTTTTTTTTTTTGTCGATGTCTTTCTGCGTATGATGTTTCGATTTGGGGGCACTGTTTTAGAACTTCAAATCTTGTAAAGGTGAAGCCACTGAAGTCTTCATGGAAAAATAAGATGAAGTTGAAAAGCGGTTCAGAGAATGTTAAGAAGTTGCAAACAGAGATAAGGGAAAAGATGGCTGCAGAGAAGGCGGTATGGGAAGATTTAATAATTTTGGTTTTTATTTCTTTAAACTGGATGTGAACTTTCAAGTCACCGAAATCATTTACAGGCGTTGGTAGAAGCCAAGAAGGAAAGTGAAAGAAGGCGTCAAGAAAATTTAAGAAAAGCAGAAATTGTGCAAGTAATAAAAAACGTTCACAAATTGAAACGGGCAAAGAAGAAGCAGCTACGGATGATTGAGAAACGAGATACTAATGGAATGTGAAGAGAGTTCCTTTATCAACAAATTTTTTTCGTCTGACTTGTAATAATCTTACTATTGAAGCTATCTGCTATTTTGTTTGTTAACGCAGTAGTCAACCGATGTTTACGCCTAAGCAGTTCGCTTTCTGTTGTTTTGTTGTTGATTCATTTAATGTGTACGATTAGTTAGCTTTTTTTCTGACAAATTTCCTTTCATTATCAACTATATTTATGTGCATTTTTTGTATTTTTTTCTGTACTCATTTTTGCTAACAGAGTATTGATGGCACTTGTGAGGCATAGGCAGCCAGTTTAAAGATGATCAAGAGGATTTAGAATTACCTTTTGAGAAATGTGAAGTTTGAATATAAGTTACTCTGCAGTTTTGATTTAAACGTTGATTATTGAGTAACCCGAGATAATTTTCTGTAAAAATGTTGCCTTTTGTTGTTTCAGCTGTTTTCTTGTTGTTTTTCAGGTTAGATTTTGTAAGAGTTGTTTCAGCTTTTGTTAAACTGATAACCGTTTTAAGCGATGCACAAGGGGTTTGGAAGTTATAGTTATGTATCAAAGTTTTATGAAAAATGCTTTGGATGCGGTTTGAAAAAGTTTTTTCAATTAGGAAAAAATATGATTTGCAAGCAGAAGACTGCTCTTTTGCAGCAGCTTGCCATTAAGTTGAGTGGTTTTAGAAACTGATGGATGTGTGATACTGCGGTAGTTTGAGCTATTGTTTTTGGCTAAATCACAAAAGCGTTTCTATATATACTCGGCATTACAGAATAACATTAGAACTTTATGTCATATGATAAACTTGACGCTGAGTCATTTCAGAACTATTGGGAGTCTCTACGTTACCTTGAGTGTTGACAAAATTTTGCTATGCCTAAAAACTAGGGATTTTTTAAGTTGCAGCTGTTGCTAGGAAGTCCATTTTTTCTTCTTGAGAGGTGAATTCCATGAGTCAGTTTTATTATTTCGGTAATGACAGTGACTTTACTGAACAAATCGGTCGAAGATGAGATAAGAATGGATGCTTAACGAGATATGCCGGCTTATTCTCCACTCTCATACTAGTCGGATGGAGAAGTAAAAGGATTTAAAGTTTTAGTAGCTCAATGTAATTATCTTTGGAGGGAAAAGGTAATCTAAGGACTAAGGGTATGTGAGTTGTTGATATGTAAGTAGCTCTTTGTATACTCGCTTCTCATTTTATAGTATTCCGATTCATAATTAAAGTAGACAATTGATCGAACACTTTTCCTCACCTACTAAACTTTTGAAACTTTGGTGAGCAATGACGTTGGGTGATCCACCAGAACAGATGATAATTTTGATGGAACATAAGCCAGAACATATGAATTAAAATTTAGTTGTTAATGACTGAAAGTGATTTTTATTTTCTGAAACATTGTTGTAAGTAGCGTGCTGTATATCAGCTGTTTTTGAACTTTGGCGAATACCGGTTTAGCTTCCTCGTGAATCCTAACTTCATTGTATCGGTACATCATTGTCTTGTTTTTGCAACTCAAAAATGGACGCTTGTAGCTTTTTAAATTACTTTTAATTGTGGAATTTGCAAGGGTTGGTCAAAATTAGGTAAGTGGGAAAAAAAAGCGAAATTACGGGTACCGCAAGTGTTATGGTTTTTAACCGCAGTTTTCAAATATAAAGTTATTGCATTTTGATTGTTCGATTGCCAGTGTCGACTCACACAAGTTGCCATTTAATTTTCTGTAATGAACAATTAGTGATCAGTAATAGTCATTCAAGAGTCGATAATCGGAACCGGATGAGTGAAAGGTGAAGAAAATTAAAGGGGTTGGTTTTTGAATATAAATAAACCTTTGCGTAAGGTACCAGAAATTCTGTAGCTGTCGAAAATGGAATTTAACCAAATTCTTCTCCATAGCGATACAATTTTAAATATCACCAAGCCCTACAAAGCTTCAGATTCCTTGTAGTCGATGAAATTCATTTTTCATACAATAATTCGACTTAACGTCTTTCGGCAGGAACTAGTTTACACTTAAGGTTTTAGAAATTCATTTCCGCCTCTTGGAGAAGAGATGTTAAAACATAATGTAAGCGCTTCTGAGCAGTATCAGTGCTAAACCTTAGTACTTTACAAGTATTTGTCACATATTTACCAATGGATATGCTCAAATTGTTCGGCACAAACTGTAGTTGCCTTTTTTCTTTGTTGGGTATATCTTTAATGAATTTTTTTCGAGTTATCTGACTGACATACCTTTCTTTTCTACTGCTGCGTCTTTCTTTTTTCTCCTTCTCTGTCTCCTACCTCTTCAGAAAATCTCAAAAAAAAAAAAAAAAAAGG